TATGCTTTATTTCTTCTTTAAGAAATTCAGTGCTACAAGCGTCAGGGCTCTATTAAAGATTTATTACAAACTTTTTGTTATTTATGAGTTTATGAGTTAGACTTAAGGCATTTATCACTGTTAGCAGGTTCACCGTAAACTTCAGTTCTATGGGAAATGCCAAAGTTAATTTTTTAAGACATCAAGAACAGAGAGACTAGAATTTAATATCTTTCAACAGTTGAGAGTTGAGAGATTATTGAAAACTCTATTACTTTGTTTTCATTACCGCTTTGACAGATTCAAAAATGTCGGCAACGTATCATTTGAAAACTCTTGGAAACAGTTACGGGATCGTGGTTCCGGCCATGTTTTCAGTGTTGTACAAAATTTTTTGCAAGGATGGCGAAGTTGTGTTTCCTCATGGGTGCCCTCTTGGTTTGTTTGAAATACCTGCCGTCGAAAGACAAATAATTAGTCTCCACCATACAAAGTTATCTTTTTGGTAGAATGCATAAGTTTTTTACGTTTTTAAGTGAATATTCTTTTAGAGCAAGTTTACTGATTATTTTGTAGCGCGTCAATAAAAAGTATTCGCAAACAGATCTTGACATGGTTGCTGACCATAATATTCCCTTGAGCGAGTTTAATCTGGTTAAGTTCTTTGCAGAACTCATAGGAATTTTGGTTTTACAGAGGTTTCTTCCAGTTGAAGGTCTAAGTATTTATCGTAGTATATTTACCTTTCTCTGTTATGTCTCATATGATCCTACTGCGCAGTTGCCATGTTGACGTTACAAAACGCACTCACAGCCAGATATTTACATATCTATTTATAAGCTGCCTTGAGTGGCATATGCTGACAATGGCAGAGGTAGTATGCGTTGCACTTAGGCTGATTTCACTTCCCTTTTTTTACAGGTGTAACGCCGATGATTTTAACGCATGGTACGAACGATCACCGCCGTACAACCCTTTGGAAATCCTATCATACCATATTAATAAGGCTTATGGTCTAATCACATGTTTCTCCTATATGTTCTCATGAGTTGTGATTTTCACTAATAGCGAGTATTACGGTCGATCTGCCTCTGTTTTTTGGGATTTTTTGTAAATACAACGGCTAGGTAATGTACAGATATAATATGCAAATAGAGTAACTGTCAGTAGACGTTGCATTTTGCTGACTTGAAGTTGCAGTAACAAAACTTGCCTCGCTTCCATACCAGCGATACAAAAATTCTAGCAAGGAAGAGAAATTTTCACTACCTTCGATAGTATATAAAATTACTTGAGCTAAACTGGCTTGATAGTGAATACTAGCTGTGCACTCAAGTCATAGTAACAGGTGATTAAATGATCGTAGCGAAGGATTGATTTTAGAAGTAATTTCACACCATAGCGTTATGGACGAATTACTACTCTGGACGGTAACATCGGTTGTTGTAATGCGTTCACAGTCTATGTGCGTTTCAATTATGATATTTTTATTGCATTTTATGTTAACTTCATGTATTACTATTGTAATATTTTGGAAGCCCAGTAATGTTTTGTAAATTTTCTATATTTGGGCTATCTTTGCAGGATTATACGTCCGGTGAACTGCTGACAGGCTATTTGAAAAAGGAGCTGATCGAGGTTCTGGTAGAAATCATTCAAGAACACGCTCAACGAAGAGCGAAGTTATCAGATGATGACGTCAGAAAGTTCATGACACCTCGAAAATTGGCTTTCAGCTATTGACCGTGACACACAGCAATACTTTTGGTATTTTGCTTATTGTCACTTTGTTCTCTGTTGCAGGTAACCATTCATGTCCTAGTCGAGCAAATAAACTTTGCATTTGGTAGACCACCGTCACTATTCATATTATGCTAAGCAGGAAAATTGTTTTATATAATGATGTAATGTTTTATATGGGTGGATAGTTCTCATCGACGGGATTATTCCCCACAGCACCAGTGCATGCGCATTGTCTGACATTTTGTACTGAATCAGTCCTGTAATCATTATGACCCTTGATGATGTATACAGTATGATCCAAGACATCGGACAAGGCATATATAATATTGCTTTGAGAAACAAACGCATTAAAAATTATAATTACTGTTTTTTAGCTTCACCAAGAAGGGTTTACGATGTTATGGAACTGTACCCATTTCCTTAAATGTTTAAGGGACTATATTAATTCTGGGAATGCAGTGACACAGTCGCTAGGGGCATTCTGGGATTGTGATGGCAGAGATCGGTTTGGAACTCCGTAACTCACAAACTTTACCTTAACCGTTAAACTTCCATTCAGCAAGGAATATACCTCACGCTGCTTCTGTGCAGCGAACTGAAAAACGAGTAGTAAGTCAGTGACTTGGCCACATCAAAATGAACAAGGTGTGCACCCATACCGTTCAATGCGCGCACTTCATAGGGCTGCAATTCGCTTTGACCTACGTGACAGCTGTTTATTTAATAACTGGCAGAAAGTGTAGCTCCTGTTGCTGTACGTCAGCTCACTTGTAAATACGTCAGGATTCCAAGATATTTCGGCATTTGCATTGCACAGATGCATCTCGATTATTTTACTGACTAGATTAATACGTTACTTATCATCAACTGGGTTTCACGCATTCAAAATTTATATTCTTTATATGCTTTCGCAAATCACAGCTTTTGCAGAGCTATGCATTCTTCGTGATTATACGAATACATGTGTAACATCGCCAAACTGGATCTCGACGCGTTGTAGCATCCCTCATTAAGTATATATACATCGTTAAGTGGGTAAACCACTCCATAAAACAACTAGTATTGAGTGAATTCACTGAAGGCAGGGGGCTATAATGTGCACAATATAGACCAAAAAAGACGGATCAAATCCGGTTTCCTCGTTAAGATTACATTTATCGCTTCATCTCGAAAATATTTATATCACGGTTTTAGTCGTGCATGTGGTAACCCAGCCCTTGTATCAGCAGTTTTGAGAGCAGTGGCGAGCAGGGAAGTCGTTCGACTCCGCGATTTAAAACATCTGCAGATCTGAACCATAGCGCAGCATAAATCTGTTACTTATGGCAAATTTCTTTGAGCAGCGAATGCAATCCATTATGTTCCATGCATCTAGCCGACGAACGGGTAGCAAGCAGATTTACTGATAAGGATGGGGACTAACAACTGATAGTTAACAGTAAAAACCTAACAGTAAAGTCAGCACGATGCTTTTGCATCGTCACATCTGATGAATCCATGTACAGCTGCATTTGCTTTGACCCATTTAATAATTCATTAACACGATATAAGATGTAAACCGTAATAAATTAACACGACTGTAAACGTCTAGTAACTGGTTATCCCAGATCATTTCTTGGAGTTGTATACCGTTTGAATAAAAATGATTGAGCCAGCTGTCAGTCTACTGAATTACCAGTATATGCTATCATCTCTGTATGAGATATACATGAAAATTTTACAGTTTTATCCGTCATGTTGCTATGAATAGATTACTACTCTCGCCATTCAATCTGTACATCGTCGGTTCTGTATCGCTGCAAACAAACGGCATCATCCCACTTCATGTGCATCCCTGATTGGTGCATCAGCATACCGGTATGAGCGATCATGGCACCGTTGTCGATGCAGTACCGCTCATCGGTGGCATACAGTTTCGCGTTACGCTCCTGAGCCATGATCCCCATCATCTGCTGCAGACGTTCATTGCAGCCGACGCCACCGACTATCAGCACCTCGTTCGAACGACAGTGGGCCATCGCACGCTCAGCCGTTTCGACCAACATCGCGAACACCGTTTCTTGTAACGAAAAGCACAGGTCAGCAGGGGTACAGGATCCTGAGGCAAGCAGATCCAACGCTTTTTTTTCGACGAACGACAGAATACCAGAAAACGATACGTCCATGCCTAAATAGCAAATGTGACCGATGAGCTGAAAGTTATTTAAGTACAACAGAAGAGCAAAATCATGTCATAGTGATCGTCGAATAAAATATACTACAATCCCAAACTTTACACTCCTTTATACTTTCTTGCTGTAGCGTAAATGAAGCAATCTTGTAGACTAGGCAAGTATCAAATCCTGAACCAAGCAAGGAGCATTTTTAAAATTTTGGAGGCTTCGTTTATTGACCACAACTACGCTGATGCAATCTTCAGATGAGCCCGCAGCAATAGCAGCTCAGAATGCATTTTAACTGGTATTCGAACGCCACATGTTCCTGAGCAAAAGAACAACTGCTCTAGAGTATTCAATTCAGATCAGGTCTCTGCAATACTTGGAGCCATGGAATGCTAAAACGTGAGCATCTGCAAACAGCGGGCAGCGTTACGCACCGTAAACGTTTGCAGCAGACATGCACTCATTAAAATACTGCGATGTGTAATGCCATGTTTTCAACGCTTGCTATGCTGATAATGA